AAGTTGTCTTTTCACTGTTTTAATGGTGTCCTTTGAAGCACAAAAGTTTTATATTTTGATAGCCCAGTATATCTTTTCATTAAAAAAAATTTTTTATTGTGCTTGAATGTCTTATCTACTACCTGACCCCGTGTCATGATTTACTTATACATTTTCATCCAGGTATATTATATTTTTAGCTCTTACATTTAAATATATAATCAATTTTGAGTATTTTGTAATGACGTGATAAAGTACTCCAACTGTATTCTTTTGTATGTGAATACCAGGTGTCCTGGTAACATTTGTTGAAAAAACTATTTTTGCTTTCTTTTTATTAAAAGATTTTATTTTTATTTTTAGAGGGAGGGGAAGGGAGGCATAAAGAGAGGGAGAGAATAATCAATATGTGAAACATCAATCTGTTGCCTCTCATACACCCTCAACTGGGGAACCTGACCCACAACCCAGGTGTGTGCCCTGATCGGGAACTGAACTGACAACCTTTTAGTTCACAGGCTGGTACTCTATGCACTGAGCCACATGAGCCAGGGATCTTTTTCCTTTCTTAAAACAGAAAATGTTTTAGGCTTCTAGCACATTTCCTGATGAGCCCAGTTCTTTCTGGTTCCCTAGTATTGGCTTATCTAAGTCATTTGCAGGTTATTTTGTATTCTCTGGGATGTAAATTGCCTAAAGAAAAACAATTTATTGTGCCTCAGAGAAGCTAAGTACTTTTTAAAAATGTCATATTTTGCTGTGTTTTCTATTCTTACTTACTCATATTCTTTTATCCTTCTTTAGTCTGAGAACCTTTTCTTTCACTTAAGTGAAAGAATTCAGAGACTGAGGATTCTCAGTCTCTGCCTTTTTGCCCTCTTGTATCTAAGGCATTTTTGTCATTTTAGTAGTTCCCCCAACTTTCAGCTTTACATTTTGTGTAAATCAATAATTCATCTTATTAAAAATGGAGATCCACTTTTTCATCTAGTCTGACGTTACCATTTTTCAAACAAACTATCTTATCTATACAGAACAAAGGAGCTCTGTCTGGAAAAAGTCCATTGTTAATATAATGAGAATGGTTTGTGCAACACTAATGTAACCTGGCAGCCAAGGACAGTGGACTAGAATGTACATGTGTGAACAATGACAACTTCACTGTACTAGTCAGTGGGGGCAGTAGACATCGGTGAGTGAGCACATATACTGTGTGGCTGTCACATTCAAAATGAGCGAGTAGAGCAATGAATCTGCATGAAATTTTGTGTAAGCTTGAACATTCCTCTGTGGAAACTATTTGGATGATTCAAAAGGCCGTAGCTATGGGCAACTGGTGATTGGCAGCTTCATTACCACAACCTGCCCACTCATGTGCCACCTTGCATGCAGTTTTTTGGCAAAATATCCAGGTGACTCAGCACCCCTCCAGCCCAGATTTGGTGCCCTAGAACTTCTGACTTTTCCAAAACTAAAATCACCTTTGAAAGGGAAGAGATTTCAGACTTCAATGAGATTCAGGAAAATATGATGGGGCAGCTGATGGCGATTGGGAGAACTGTGTAAGGTCCCAAAGTGTCTAATTTGAAGGGGACTGAGACATCATTGTCCTGTGTACAATGTGTCTTATATCTTCTTGAATAAATGTCTCTATTTTCACATTACATGGCTGGATACTTTCTGGACAGACCTTGTAATTCCAATAAAAACTTTTTGATGCGAAAGAAATTAGTATAATCCATACATCTTCCCTTATGTTTTTATTTTAAAAAATTTCAAACTTAGGGAAAAATATATATGAGGACCACTTGGATCCTCCTGTGAAATTCACCCACTTTTAACATTTTGCCACATTTGCCTTCTTTCCCTCTTTTATACATATACATATACATATACATATACATATACATATACATACATACAGGATAGGGCTGAAGTAGCTTTACAGGTGTATATTTAACAAAGTTAATTCTTGTATTATTATTAGTTATTATATTGTTTTTCATACAACTTTAAACCTCCTTTTGCCTAACCTGTATATACATGTATATTTATCTATGTAAATATATCTACCTATATGGATATACATATCCATAGATACATTCTGAATCATTTGAAAATAAGCTGCAGATACCACAACTCTTCAGCCACAAATGTTCTGGCATAAAAGTTTCAAGATTAAGGACAATACCATGTCTCTTTAAGATAAAGGATTGCATTTTGTTGTCATAGCTCTTGGGTCTCTTCGATCTGGAAGAATTCTACTTTTCTTAAAAAAAAAAATTACAAACAATGGCTCATCTGAACAGTCCAGACCAAGTTTCTTGTAAACCATTACACTCTGGATTTATCTCCTCACGTTTAATTTGTTCTAATGTCCCCTATATATCCTTTAAATTCATGCTTATATCTAGACCAGGGCTTCTTAGTCTTGGCACAATTGACATTTTGGGCCAAATAATTCTTTGTTATGGAGAGGTTGTCCTGTGCATTTTCTGATGTTTAGCAGCATCCCCAGCCTCTACCCATTAGATGCAGTAACAACCCTCTCCACCCCCACCTCCCTACCTGGCCCCTCTCCATTAGGACAAACAAAAATGTCTCCAGACATTGTCATGCCCAGGAGGGTAGAGGAGCATAGAGGACCAAGGTGGGGATCTACCCCCTGGTTGGGAACCACAGGCTAGAATCCTGATTAAAATCAAGTTAAACAATTTTGGCAAGAATAGTTCTTAGATGACATGTATTTCTAATTGTGTAATATTGGAAAGCACATAATATCAGATGGTCCCATTATTAGCAATTCTAACTTTGGTCACTTGTATAAGCAGTGACTTTTTTAAAGTAATGGTACATCTTCTATTTTACAAGTTATGGTTTGATACCTTGAGAACAAGTAAAGATCCTCTATTCCTACAATTTTTCACTTAGTGGCTTTCAGCATTCTCTGATGAACTTTGCCTGAGTTGTTTGTGATTGATTTGGAAAATAGTGATTTTTCTATTAGTTGTTCTACACTCAATCTCTAGTATTCTTGTGAAAGAAAAATTTTCATTCTTCCTCTGATTTTAGTGGCACTCTATACTCATGCACTTTTTAATCCAATTTTTTTATTCAATTAATTATTGTAATTATTCTTTTTGATGCTCATATTGTCCCAAATTTCACCAGTGGAAACCCTCAACTCATTCTTTAAAGGATATCTTAAATTAAGCAAGGGAATTTAGTGTTTTGTGGGGCATTTTAAGTATCCCCACAATGGAAATTTCTTATTGTATTACACTTATTGCATACACATATTGCACATGTGAATAAATATGTGAAGACTTCACATTTAATCAAAGAAGATTTCTGATGCTTAGAACAACCTATCATTTTCATAGTTAACATGTTAATCTCAGAATATAAATAATTGGTAAGAGAAGATTCTATTCCACATCCGATAAAAATTATTAGCAATGTAATTGAGTTATCTATTTACTTTAGAATGGTAAATCATTTCCTGACTTCTGGATATTATGACTGGTTCCCATAAACTGAAATATACCTGTAGCATATATAGCCTTTTACATATATTGTATGCAACTGCAAATTGCAGGGAATACGATGGGGTTACTCCTGTTTCTAAGTGTTTGGGACGTATTACAATAGCATTAGAAGTATTGGAAACATCGCGATTTTAGAACTGTGACTTTTGGGAAGGCCGAACGGCACAATCCAGCTAAAATCACAAAAATCTGTATTAAGTAATTTTAGCTCCACCCTGGACAATGATCTCCTTTCCTTCTGTAACAGTCAATTATATCCACCCTAGCCCCAGGAGTGGCTCTGCGCAGTTCCGCAGTCCGCTTTAAATCTGTTTAAGATGATGGCTTCGAATAAAACCATCGCGGTGGTAGGATTTTAAGTTCTTAACAGTCTCACCCTGGGACTTGGCAGCCGAAGCCACAGTGGACTCCCCAGTCTCTTTCTAGGTCGCCGCTGAAAGACCGTGGAGGGCGGAGCAAATTTTAGGGAGAGGCTCCCAGAGCCGCGTGCTTCCTGATTGGCTAACGTGAGTCTCAGCTGCCCAATCATACTAGAGCGTGCCGCTCCAGGCCGCGGCGCATGCCCACTCGAGGACCCGCCCTTGTGCTTCAGCCCGCCCAAGAGCCTAAGGTTACTGCAAATGGTCGGTGGGAGCTGGTTCTGGTGTCCCTGTGTCAACGTCAGAGGGCCGCACTGGGACGGTGCCGGGCCCAGTGGGACAGCTACAAGAATAAAAGAGCACTGACTCAACTGCCCGGTTTTTCCACATTTCTTAAGTGCTGGTTTTGTTGGGTTGATCATTCACTTTCATTGTGGTGACTGCCCTGGACTATCTGATTTGCCTGTGGGGACAGGAAAAAAAGTCGACTGCATTCTCTGCGTCCACAGACAGAAAAGCAGGATGAATGGAATGACCCCTTATAAGTAAACTTTTTTTCCTACGCAGAATGGGTTTGGGAACAGCTTTCCTTTGAGTCTTACCGCATGAAATATGGCCTTATAAGCGCGGTACTGCAAGATGTACCTCGTGTCCATCGCCATACTAGCGTTACTCTGCTCTCTCTGAGCCGACCATCTATCTGTTAGCGCAGGAATCGCGGACGTTACTTTGCTCTACACAGAACCTCTCTAACTAGTTTCCAAGGTGTGCAACTCAGAAAAGTGACCCAGAACAAGAAACAACCATCCTTTGGCAGAGAGGAAAAAATTTCGTGGTCCTTGGTAACAAACTGGCCTCCTATCTCCCGGCCTCGTCCGGTCCCTGGTTGATTACCGCCTCGGCGCGCCGCAGTCACCTAGACCCACACCAGGCCAGCCCCTTCGGCCGCTCGGAAAACTCGGCGTGCGGAACCCGCACGCGGAAGCACCGGCCGCACTGAGCATGCCCAGTTGTAGAGTCGACCAGAGGAGTTTTTTTTTTCTTTTTCTTTCTTTTCTTTATTTTTCTTCCTTTCTTCCTTCCTTTGGTCTAAAGTAGGAAGCCGCCCCCCTACCCCCACCCCAGCCCCCCATCATCCCCGGCCTAAGCAGCTGCCATGGCCGAGGAGCTCGGTGCGGCGTTGTCCCAGGCGGGTTGGTAAGTAGTGAGTCCCGCCGGCCACCGGCCGCCGGCGCGGACCTGGGCCCCGAGGCGGGTTGGGGGCGGTGGGGTACGCGACTGGGTGGGCGGAGGCCGCCGCCGGTCCCCGGCCTCGCCCCAGGCCCTCTGGCCCGGCTCCGCCCCCGGCGCCACGCGAGCCCACCACGTCCCCAGCTCCTCTCTGGGTGGCGGCGCGGCCTGGGCCTCTGGTGGCTTGGGCCCCGGGTGGCCGGTGGATCGGGTGAAGCCGGGGGGCCACGGGCAGGGCCGCTCAGGCCCAGGCCGGAGCCGGCCCGCCCGGAAGGACCAGCAGCGCCGTTCGCGCCTCTACCGGGTGGGGGAGTTACTGTGGCGGGACGAGGGGCGGCGAGGGCTGGAGAATCTTGTGCGGCGGAGAAGGAAGATCGTGGCCGGAGCCCGCGGGCCCGCAGGAAGTTGAGGGCGGTGGAGAGCTCAGCCCTTGCTGCTGCCGGGGTGGCGCTTCTTATTTCTAAGTACTGTACTGACGGGCGTGGAGCTGAGCTCCGAGGCGCACATACAACTTCGGAAGCTAAGACTGATCATCCTGTCAACGCGTGTGGGTGCTCTGTAGAACTTTTCTTGAAGGGACGGAGATGTTCAGCTGTTTCAAGACACAAGATTTTTAGGATCTGAAAGCAATACAACATTAAACGAAATTAAGCAGTTTCTGGAACTGCGGCCATTACAGTTGTAAACATCCAGTTTCATTCAGTAACGCTTTTCCAGGCCTGCACAGGCAGTCTGAGATGAAGGGTGGGAAGGCAGATGTTAGTTATGCCTGCTCTGTAGAAGTTCATAATCTTCGCGAAAAGATAAGAGAGGGAGACATTAAAAAGTTCAAGTACAAAAACAGGGAAAATAGTGGTAAATTGTACTGAGAAACAGACAGATGTGCAATGGAATTGGAGGGAAGGAGAGTTAATTTCCTAGGGAAGTGGGATGAGGCACGGAAGTAGGAAATGCTTAAGGATTTGCAGAACTGACAGTAGATCCACATGCTTCGTGGAAGTGGTAGGGTGTCCAATGAAGATTAAGACCAGAAAGTTTGGGGCAGACCCCAGAAATTATGGGGTCTGCAAGTACCTAAAAGATGTGAATTTGATATTGTGAATAAAGTTTTTGATTAGAGTGATATTAGTAACATCTGTGTTTGGAAGAAGCTGCTCCTGCCTGTACAGGCAGCCGTTTTTCCAGGTGGAGACTGAGATACAGGCCTGTTGAGTAATTTTCCAAAAGTGATACTGCTAGAAAGTGGTGGAGCTGAATGGTGATCACAGGAGGGCCGCTTCCAAATTTGGTGCTTTTAGCTATTATGTGTTATTGTTCCTACATTTTTTTGTGTAGAACACTATTAGCATGAAAAACTGTAAAGTTAAAAAATCACCTTGTTCAGTTTTATTTTTGTTCTTTTAACTGGAATCTCTTCCTTTAGTTTCTTTACCTCACAGAGTTGTCTTGGAGAATCTTGGGTCACTCTTCCATTTGAGTTGTTCCCCATTTTCAAACTAGTTTTATAATTTTATTTACAAACTTAGTCTTTTGCTGCTTCCCAGCAGGACCTCACCTCCTTTAGAAAGGCTAATCTCATTATTTTGGTTCCAAACACATACTACCGTATTTTGCCAAGTATAATGCACACCCACATTTTGGCCCAAACTTTCAGGAAAAAAACCTTTTGTTTAAATTTTTTAATTCAGTTATTCATTTAGTTATATTTAGAAGCAAAACCGATTATCATATTCCAGGGTATTATTTTGCATATGGATATCGTTATTGCTTTCCAGAGTTACACTTTTAACACATAAGTAAAAGAATTAAAAACATTTATATAGATACGGAATTAGCACTACCCATGTATAATGTGAATTCTTATTTTTCCCTCAAAAATTTGGGCAAGAAAGTGTGCATTATGCATGGCATAATACAAGTAAATTGTTCTCTTTGGATACCTTAAGAGTGGGGAAATACATCTTATTTTTCTGTTTATCTATAGTGCCAGAGAGCACAGTACATTGTAGGTTTTCAGTAAAGTGTGATTCAGTTGATCTTGGAATATCCCTGTCAATCATGCTGTAGCCAAGGTCCCCTGACCAAGCCTAGGTAGAGTTCCTCCCTTTGTTATTTTGCTATAAATCCCCAGCACTGTTACATTGTAACATGTGTCACTATGTATTACAAATTATCTCTTTACATGTTTTACTTTCGTCAAACTGTCTTGCTTTTATGTGACTTTGACTCATAAAGAGGAGTATTCTTTGGGTCTGACAAAACTATCTTTCTAGGAGTTGGAGAGAGTCATGTACCTTCTAATGGGTCTTGAACAGACTAGACTTGTACCAAAGAGGAGGAACCCCTAGGCTTTTGGGTGGCCTGTATTGTAGTAGATCTTATATTTAAGTAAAGACTTACTACATTAAAATAGAGAATTTTAAAGGTTTAGGCAGGGAAGAGAACTGGAAGGAGAATTTCTGACCATAGAGCAGCTGGGACCAACCCACTCCAGTTCTGACATTCTGAGTTTCCTGTAACTCTTGAAATTCTCTAATATTGTCATTGACAAAACCGTTTCTCTTTGTGCTCTGTCTACTCACTTCATTCCTTATAGGACCTGAAAAGAAATAGGTGCTAAAGCACCTAAACTATTATTAAGACTTTGATAGGTTTCATCTAAAATAATAGGTTAGGGAAGTACTTAGTGCTGAAAGCTTGTTTCTGAAAGTGTGATCTTCAGGGAGTAGAGGGATGTATATAGACCAATCTATTATTCCAAGTTGTTATTTTTGAGTACATTTTTCCCCTTAAGTCTTTAATCTTCATTAGAACCCCACAAAAACCAATATTAAAAAAAACTCCAATAGTAGCTACTTTGGCAGACATCAGATATATGAGGTCTGTCCAGAAAGTATCCAGCCATGTAATATGAAAAATAAAGGCATTTACTGAAGATGATACAAGACACAAGAAACATTGTACACAGGACAGGGATGCCTCAGTTCCCTTCAAATTAGACACCTTGGGACCTCACAGATTTCTTCCAGTCGTCATCAGCTGCCTTATTGTATTTTCCTGAATCTCTCCTCAAGGGTCGGATCTCTTCCCTTTCAAAGGTGATTTTAGTTTTGGGAAAAGCCAGAAGTTGCAAAGCACCAAATCTGGGCTGTAGGGGGCTGAGTTACCTGGGTGTTTTGCCAAAAAACTGCATGAAAGGTGGTGCGTGAGCGGGTGGGTTGTGGTGATGAAGCTGCCAATCACCAGTTGCCCATAGCTGTAGCCTTCTAAATCATTTCAGAGGAATGTTCAAGCTTAAAGCAAAACTTGATGCAGATTTGTTTACTCTACTTGCTCAGTCACTTTAAATGTGACGGCCACACAGTACATATGCCCACTCAATGGCATCAACTGCCCCCTGATTAGTACAGTGAAGTTGTCATTGTTCATGCATGTGCCTTCCAGTCCACTTTCCTTGGCTGCCAGGTTTCATCTATGTTTTGCAACCATTCTCATTATATTAACAATGGCTGGATTTTTTCCAGACCACACACACACACACACACACACACCCTTTAAGTTTAATCAGCAAAACCTAATACTTTCTGTGCTACTGGCCACTTACAAAATATATATAAATTATATATATGTCATTAGTTTTGCTGATTTGAACTTGAAGGTCCTAGGTACTTCTACGGTATGGTGGTTACGTTTAAATAATGCACTAAATGGTATATTGGTCTTTGTAACCAATTTTGCAACCAATGCCTAATTATATGTGTGGAATAACTTCACTGATTTGTCTTGTTTGTCTAGATAACAGGTTTACTTCACTCTCTGCTTTTCTTGTTTTTTCTCTTTGGAGATTTCCCTTAAGAGGGAATTGTATATTTATACTAACCTTTTGAGTCTTTAAAATTTTAGTTTTTATAAATATCAACCTTTGAAACTTTAAAAAAAATAGAAACCATTGAAGAACAAAAATTTAACCAAGTTAATTTAAAGATCTAATCGGTTCTCTTGAATGACTCATGAATCAAACAGCATCCCATCTAATAAAGAGAAACATGCTCTGAGGAGAGAGAGACTGAAACTGCAATTAGAATAGGTAGCAAGTCTTGGTGGGGCTTATCACATTGACTGCATTCAGAGTCTGTTTCTTTTTAACAAACGATATTAAGGGAATGTAATCAGCTGTGTTTGTGTTTTTGAAAAGATATTTTCTGTAGAAATAATGATTGCACAGCTAACTCCCTTAATGTGCAGATGAGGAAACTGAAGCATACAGTGTATTGACAATTTGCTCAGAGTTGTAAGTGGCAGAACCAAGAATAGAACCTAAAGGTCCAGAATAAACATTCAGTACTCATTTTCACCAAGTTGTGGTGACCACTTCTAATTTAAATTATTGATAAAAAACAGCACATTTTAAAACTGAAAACTGGATTTTGAAGCATTTTGTGATATGTAAATTTACTTTCTTATTCGGGAAAGCTAAGGTCTTATTCTGTGGAGTGAGGTTATTGGGCTCAGGGAAACCTTTACCTTTTAGCGGCTCACCTACTTGTTGATTAAGTTCATTTGAAAATCTTGTTAATTTTTTGAAGTCCAAGAATATCTGAAAATGTAACATGCTATATTGTGTATTTCTCCCTTATCCAGTAGTTTTGAGTTGCAGACACCAAAGGTAGCTTTAGAAATAGGCTGTTTCCATTTTATTCTGAAAGAGTGTATTTCTTTAGAAACTAGAGGTTTCTAACATCCAAGGTTTAACCAGATTGTGCTCAGGGGTGTTTGTTTTGTTTTTGTTTTTGGTGGAGTAGGTGGGATCTCAGGGGAAAGAGAGGATGAACACAAAGGTCTTCTCCTTACCTTGCCCCCTTTAAGTTTCACCTTCTCTTTTGGGTGGTCTCTCTTAGATCACTGGTGCTACCAACACAGTGATGTCCTCCGGCCCAAGTGTGTACTAAACTTCACTCCCTTTGCTT